GTATATATATATTATATTTATATATATATATATATATATATATATATATATATATATATATAAAGGTTTCAAAATTCAAAACCTTTCAGCGAATACACTTCAATCAAATTTCGCAGCCTGCCATTTTACAATGGACGTTTGGCGAATGCATTTCCTATTTCATATATAAATAAATCTTGAGCGCTGTCGTATCAATATCTCCGACTACACTTCGTACCGTAAATAGAAACGACGGAATAAAAACGCGATCGTAGTTCTCTCCGTTTTCCTTTTTTCTTCTCCATTTTCTTTTTTATTATTCGCACGACTACGAGAGTTAAGTGTTATTTACTGCATATACCATTCCAGCAAAGTAGGATTCGTATTTCATTCGTCAGGATGATTTGGTGAAACGCGCGGAACGACGACCGCGCCGTTACGCAACCGAAGAAGTACTCGAAACGATCGAGAAACATGGCGACAGAATCGGGCAATTAAGCCTCGGATGAAGTTGTACTTTATAGCGGGGAATCGCATTTGGCAATTGGTTACCGTTGCACTTGGCGCGTTGAAAGCCGCGTTGTACGCGAACCGAGAAAGCCGCGGCGTCGCCAACTCGAACGTCGAAAACCTGAATAATTGATGGGTCGTCGCTTATACCGGGAAATAATCGATAGTACCACCGGGGAGGACGTAACAAATATTCCGCGGGGAAGATCGATAAACGTCCAAGTCCGGCTCGGGAACTCCTAGTTTCAAGCTTTTGTAATATTTTACATTTTCTCTCTCTCTCTCTCTCTCTCTCTCTCTCTCTCTCTCTCTCTTTCACACACATACACACTGAAAAACATTCTTTCGACTTCTGCAAAACTTTTGCCTGTTGCAAAACGCGCGAAAAATATCTCCTCTTTGCGCGTGCGTACAAAATAAATAAACGCGACTTAAACTTCGACTTTGACTCGACTCGACTCAGAATGCTCCTCGGTTATTTCGTAAAATTAATTTCGCGATCATTTCCGACGAAATCTCGGCTGTTGCTTTTGGAAGCCAGATTCGGGAACGACTTCATTTACATATATGTTCAACACGTAATAATAAACGTGGCTGCGCACATAGTTGGTAATTGGTCAATTTCCTGCAAGATGATCGAACACCGCCCGCTAATAATTTCGAATGGTAAACGATCGAGCCGGAATCTGATGCGATTCATCACCGTCGGACATATTTCAGGGTCGATCAACCATGAAATTGCGGATCGGTGATTCGGTCGTGTGCATTTTCATAGCTACGGAATAAACGTAGGATTAAAATGGGACATGAACTGAACGCGTGTAATCCGAGCTCATTTATCGCCGATATATCTTACTTTTTTCCCTGGTTTTCTTTTTTTTTTAACCGATCTATAGTTTTTTTTTTTTTTTGCGGCTCGGCGACTCTCGCCATAGTTAATTTTAGAGGCGATATTGATTCTAATTTTAACCGATTCTCTGCGTCACATCTATCTCTGGATTGTATCTATTTCGCACGTTTGCACGTTGGCGAGAATTTCTTTTTAATTCGCTCTGTACTCGGAAGAAAAGACCGGCCATTGTTTCGACTTTATTTCGAACGCGTGACGTGAAACCATTATGCACGAGCTCTGACAAAGTGCACGGCCGTTTCCACGGTCGCCTCTAAAAATATGTTACGAGAATAATCGTGATACGAAATTGGCGTTCGATAAATACGAGAAATATCTCGATCGGTTTGCCTGTGTTCGCCAATTTGTCCGGTGGAAACGTGGGAATCATAATCGTAAAGTTTCGGTTATTTTCGAATTCGACCGACTGCTATTTGTCAGCCAAGGCTTAACGTTCGTTCGATCGTTTCGTTTCGTTTCGTTTCGAAGCATAGTGGAAAATCGAGGGAAGGTCACCGCGAAATTTAAAATGGGATCGCGCCGCGCCAAACGTATCACCCTCGCCATCTATCTTAGCAAATCGTAACTTAAGTCAACCGAGTCAACCTTTTTAATCATCAGTAGATAAAACCAGCGACGTCGGTAAAGAGGTTAGTTCTCACAAAAATATGTCAGTAACGAAATTTGTAATTGATTATTACGATTCATGATGAGCAGGCTGTAGGAAATTCGTTTCACCCTCTAAATATTGCAAAAGAATATTTTTAGCAACTGTTTTGTAAACACAATACACATTTATGGCATTGCAAATGATGCGTAATTAATTCCCACGTTTGGCAACACTGATCGTTGAAGCATCAGCGTGAATGGGGGAACGAGAACAAAATTCCTCCCTGTTGAAATGTAAACAGAGTAATTTACATACCGATTGCGGCGGAAGAGGAGAAGTTCGATTATCGTACGATCTGTAGGCGGTGGTTCGTGCGCCGTTCAGTGATCCGTAACCAGGAGTCGCGTTGCTACCGACATGATTTCCTTCCGATGACACTGTGTTTTGCAGGTCTGCCAGCAACGCATCTGAAATCAAGGAACCGTTGCTGGGTTGAGAAATATCTTCAATTACATCGAATGAGCTCAGAAGGAGACAATTGAATTATCAGCTTCTTCGCTAAGAATATAACGAATTGCTTGATTTCACATAAAAGATATTAATAGTTACAACTGAGCTTGTTTTTTTCAGATTATTGTTTCAGGTGTATAAGAATTTCTGTACATATCTTGCACATATATATATATGTATTATAAAATGGCCGTTTATATTGCTTAAATAACAAGAATCGATGTCAGAGACTTTGATAGGTTATATTAAGTATTCGTCGAAGTGTCTAACGAATGTCACTAACAACAAGATCGACTCAGCGTAAATTTAGACGTTGGAATATTGTATCAAGATGAGCAAATTCGTCGGGTAATCACCTTAATGCTATCCGTTTATCAAAATGTCTTTTACGATCGGTTTTTTTCTTCTCTTATAGCAAACGAACAACTTTCCTTTCAGATTGTATTTATCGATTGATCAGCAGCGCCTGCGCCCCGTGTGAAAATGTTTGCGCTGAAAGTATGCACACGCAAGTGTTTTCGATACCTCACGGTATCGAGAAAGAGAGAGAGAGAGAGAAAAAAAGACGATGACGTGAGCGTTGTTTAAACGGGCAAAGCTTTGAGATAAGCATACAAGGTGATCCTCCGTGAGTATCAAACGTTCACGAATCATTTGTCAAAGAACCATTTACCAAGGCTGAGAAGATTTGTTTCCGTTTTCTCGGCGTTGTAAGACTCGTAGAGATTATCGGCCTCAGCCTGCGACTCGCATCCTGCTTCCATCGTGAGACAAACTGCGACACACCCACTGTTCCCAGAACGTCGAACTTCGCCACGAATTTCCGGTCGAATCGAAAGCAACGCGCGCGCGAGATATTCGCGAAAAAACGCGCAGTTTTCACGTTTCTATAAACAGTCGTGGAATTATCCTTTAGCGCAGGAAGGGGAATCGAGTTGATCGTAGTCGATTCTAAACACTGACAATATTCACAGATCTCGTGAAATACTCAACGATTGCCCGTACAAATACTTTGTATATGTACGTTCGCCTCACAACAAACACGTTACAATGACGTATAGTATCAAGAATACATTGCTCCTTATCCGTTTATCTCTGCCTAATACTTTTTTTTTTCAGAACGATGAGGGAACGCACGATACAGCGAGCAAACAGTCACGTGCTTATCGGAATATTGGCGAGATTTGCACACAGGGACCCGTGACGATCGACAAAACGGTACTGATTGTCAATCAAGTTGTCGGTAAAGCGACCGGCTTCCAAGCCGGAGAATAGAAGCCTGGAGGAGGAGGCAAGTTGAACTGGAGAAGGAGAAGGAACAGGAGTTGGAGGGAGTATTCTCGCAACAAGGGAAGTAGAAACCCGAGGCGGGTTCGAGACGAAGGAAAAGCAACCTAACCAGCTACGAAGAAATGGTTCGCGGATAAAACCTGAACTAGACGGATGCCCGTGAATCGGCTGGATGTGCTTTTTCGCGGAAATTGTAGCGTTCTTTGAATCAAATGCCTTAACTCAAAGGCTGGGAAACGACGGCGAAACGAGTACAAAGTAATTTGAATACTGGTGGCTTGAAAAAAACCAAATGCGACGCGTATTTTGCTTGCGTACTTTGTTGATAAAATAAATTGTTAAGAGAAAGGTAATCAATTTCTTTTGCATTATGAAACGAAGATATTAACCTTTAGAAAATTTATATATTTGTATCTACAACTTGCATGTTCTGCAAGATTCCCAAATTTGTTTCTGGCTGCTATAGATTAGTAGTGGCTACTTCAGACCATTAAAGGTTGATGTCGTTACTTTAGTGATGGTTTTTAATTAATGATGAAACTATTGAATTTCAGTTTATCTCTTTGAGTTAATATAACAACGCGTTTGAATGGGATTCGTTGTTGGCAGAAAGCCTACCAAGCTTCCTCAGATCTATTTTATACTTCTGAATCATACGGCCAATTTCAACATTAATATTACGCGATATGCGTAACGCACTTTCGTTATAAATCTCGGAGATTAGATGGGGGATTAGACGTACGATGATAGCTTCAAATGGTTAATAAATCCTATATTATAATTGCAGATATTTAAATTGAGATATACTATAATATATTCTTGTTCTTACTATATTACGCTGAGTACGTTTAGTACTTATGTTACGTTTGCTCTGATTAAGCAAAACAAAAGATTCATCTTAAAAAAAGCATGTAATAAGAGTACAATTAGAATTTGATGCAATCATAATATTTGCATCGATCTCTATGCATAGACAAAGTTAGTGAGTAACTCTCATTAACTCATACTCCCATTGATCAAATTTACTTACTTATATACTGTTCCCAACGTGCGTGTCTTTGGATCGTCGCCAATCGAGCTGGTGTAATAGGCGATACAGGATTCATAATGTTGGTTATATCACTCTGTTTTCAACGACATGGCACCAAATTAAACAACGCTTTAAACTTAATTGGAATGTAGAATGAAAATTGAAACTTCAAGAATGTGATTCTCTTCGATTCTTTTCGATCGATTTCAGATGAACTTATTTAAGACCGAGTGATCGTTGAACACTAGCTTTTGATTCTTTCTACTAGCAGAGAGATGCAGACACAAATGAGGAACGGCAATGAATACAAGGCCGCAGTTTGGCTAGAGAAACAATCTGTTCAAAACATTCTATAGATATAAATCCCCTCCCCTGCCAATTACTAATTACTGCATACTTCGCATGAAATTAAGCATCCAAAATAACATTTGTCATTGCGAGTTTAACGAGCGTATGTATACATACATATTTATATTATTTAACCATGGTAATGTTTTGACACTTGAGATAATTCAACGTATGGTTACAGAGACATATGGAGATAAAATAAAAATTATTCCATACCACTTTAAGTTATTGTCGAGTGCAACGTGTCGAAAATAATGAGCAAACGAAGAAATTATTGTTAGAAGGCACGTATGTATGTGTTGCGAGACCAGGTGGAACTGCCAGCACGTGTTTTCTCAGTTTGCATTTACAGAATCTCAGAATGTTACGTGAACACTCTTCTCTTTCCTCCCTCTTTTCAGCCTTGTTGTTCTTCGTCTCTGTTTTACATCTTCGTTTACGCATGATACATGCAAACGTTTACTCCTAGATTCATGACGACAAACTTCCCAAGAATAACTTCGGCTACCTATCATCTCTCAACCGCGGTATTCTCCCGGTATTTTGAATTTTGAATTTCTTTCTTTCGGGAGAATCCTTCGAGCGAGATTTACGAATATGTACGTAACTCTTTAAGGGAAAAGACTGCCATATATAAAAATAGAAATGGGGATCACGTTGATTCTATTCGAGTCATATATGTCAGTCGTAAGCGTAGGAAGTTAAATCACACACTGTCGTGCTTCATATGGATATGTATAGATCAAGCCAAGGTTCGTTCAAGGAAGAGATACCTACGCACATATCGGATCATTATATGATCTTTGATGCAATGGAATGCACGATAAATAGTCGTAGTTTCCTGTATCTCTAAAAAAAGGAATTTCACTAGCTAGTGCATTACAACTAGAAACGTTGGAATCTAACATAACATATAATATATATGACATAATAATAATAATAACTTCCACACGATTAAACAATTGCTGCAGTGCTACAGAGATTGAATTGATGCATATATGTTTCAGTTTCTTTATAAAGTTTACGTACAGTAAACTACTGCGTTACTTAACAAGAAACAAAAACTAAATTAAATATGTAATATACATATACATCTGTTTATTCGTCCTGTACTTTAGAAATTGAGCAGAAACTTTAGGAATTAATGATTAATTAATTTATACGACAGCGGTACTATCGATAAAATTGATCCCTTGCGTCGATATATGTATCGACACTTTGATTTTAGCGCAATTGAACAGATGACGCCACTCGAAAAAATCGACACGATATTTTTAATTCAAACTTCTTTCGAAACGTGTAGAAATGAACTACCACATTCTTTTATAGATTTCCATAAAAAGATCACTCGCACATAATGACTTCGAGAATTATTTCAGAAAGTTTAGTGTCAAGGCGACCCACATTGTAGGTGAAAGGTATTCCAAAAAAAATGATGTGATCTGTTGCATCATGAGTCATCCCTTCAGACTGAATTAAATGTGCATTTTAAAAATAATTTAATTGAATTTAATATATTGCGCGGATGCACGTATGAAAGTGATAAATGCGCTTCTTAATTTTAAAGGACTTCTTAAAAAATGTTCAAAAAATAATCGCAATTAATTGTTTATAATCATTTCATAAATTATGAAATCTATACCTTTGGCTACCATGCACGCTAACTTTTGAAGATATGCCAGAGATTCATTTTTATCAGCAATTTAAGAGCATTAAATAGTAAATGGTAAATATAAAATGAAAAACACATGCGAATAAACTTAATCAATCGCTTTATAAATGGAATGTACGCACGAGTACATATCAGAGGTTATCGTATGGTATATCATAATATTAAACTAGCTAAATTTAATAATTACGTATATATCTAGAAAAGCATATAAGAATCGCATGACCAATTTTTCAAAACACTCATCTTAACACGCTCTATATACCGACGAAAAATGATACGGTCAAAAGCAATTGAGCTTAATTTAAAAGTTCGCACTACGTTATCGCGTAAAATTGTACGAACGCAGACCAGATATTGGGTCGATGTATTAACTAAAGCCTCTAATCTTAATTTTAGTAAAAGTAAGTATATCCAGGACAATTATTAATTAATAATTCAATCCGGTATTCAAATTACGTATGCAAAAATGTCGTATGAACGCGCACTCGCATCCGTAATCGTTAGACACAATTTTATATCGTTATTGTACCGTATTATTTACTGAATACAAAATTAAAATCACGCTAAACTTTAAGGGGCGAAGGGATTAAAAATATAAAAAAGAATTATCGACTCACATCCTGGTGGTGAACCTTTTGTGACGGTGATTTTATAGGGCTGATAAATAGCGCTTGGCTCTACTTTTCCATACATTGTCCGATCCATAGCCATTATTTTTTTTTTTTTTTTTTCAAACGTGAAAATATAATTACACTTATAGCACTTGAGAATATAATTGCACTCTATAACCGTCTATTTATTTTATGCGGTTTCACACGGGATCACGAATTCATCGCGTATAAGTATGTATGATATTGTGTAGCACTTTTACTGCGGTAATGCTTCTCCTCACTGTCTATCGTGAACAACCGAGCTGTGTAGACGATCGATTAGTGGTGGGGATGATGCACACATCACACGACCACTTGTTGAATGTCTGTGAATTTTATACAGACAAATCCGCGAATAGGTAGATAATGCGTTACGTTTGAAAGAAAGAATGAAAACAGAAAAGACTCTGCAGGTAAGAAACTCGATAAACTAGTTATAATCTATCGATCATTATTCCACTTGTACTTTCAATTACTTTACGCACACTAACGGTCAATGAATTTACGCGCACGTAACGTGAAGAACTGAGAATTCATACGAGATGCCGAATGACTAAATATGTTTTTTGGTGTCTACGAAATTTAGGATAAGTTTGGAAAAATACAACGAACGAAAATCACGATATTGATACTTTGTGGATAGAGGCGAATTTGACGGGAGGAAAACCAGAAGTTCAAATGTACAAGTGTATTTCAGGCGCTCGCCCGCACTCACGACATTTATCCTCTCCCCGCAACGATAAAACAAGAGGACAACGGCGCCGTGAAATACACTAAAAATACGTAGAATCGTTGGCACGCGACAACTCATCGTCAGAACACACTCACACGACATTATGTGGATTTTGAAAAATTTCTTCCGGTAACGTGCTACGTGCAATCACTCGAATTTCACGAATTCCCAATAGCTTTTGAAATTAACTTAAAATTTTGTTCGAGGTCACAGAAATGTTTGAAAATCGTAATTGTATTATTTCAAAATCAAAGCTATTACATCAAAATTGCATAGTTTTCTCTTAAAATGGATAACTGATTGAGAATATTAATCCTGTTTGTGTGTGTGTCGCACTTGATTGTATACGACAGTAACAAACATATAATTCATATTGATTATATATGTTAAATACAATAAGTAATGTTCTGGATCTCTTGTGAAGAAAAGTTTATAATTAAACTCCTACATCGTAATTAATAAATTCATCATTGGGGGGTGAACTAGCATGCCATGTATTTAATTGTGATACAACGAAATGTTACCGTGGTAATACAGATAACAGTTAAGTATTTCACTTCTGGCATTCATAACGTTACAGCATATCTGTTTATTTTGTAATTAATCCAGTACTAATCAATTATTAATTAAATACGTCATATTTGTAATGACGAAAATTACTGCAAACGGAATATAATAATACAAGCATAATCGCAAATAATAAGATAAATACTTATATACTTTTTATATTTACGAGTGTATAATGTATCTAAATACTAATAAACGCAATAGAATTAAAATTCGCAGATAAAAATGTATTAGAAAAGAATGTTTACTTTTGATTTTCTTCAACATTCTTCATCAATAATACTCGCCCAAATATAAATATTTATTATCTGAATAAGCAAATATGAAATGTAACTGCAATATAAATTCATAGATATTGTATTTGAAAAATTAAAAAAAAAAATTTTTTAAAAACAATATATCTTCATTCTTATACTTTTATTTTTTTTAAAATAAAAAATAAAATTAGAACCTCTCAAAAATGTAAATACTCCACAGGATTAAACATAATATATTATAAGTATGATTATAAACGTAAATATTTCTGACAGTACGATCGACTGAAGTTTGAGGTTAGCTCAAAGTCGATTGCGTATTTAAAACACATTTTACTCACCTAAATCATCCATGTTTAATATATGTTAACCTGGTAGATATTCTTGCACAAATGACACTCAACCCGTAATAATTTTTAACTAAAATGATAGTGAAATGTGTCAATTTTAAGTGATCAATTTACTTCCCTCAGTTGGGAAAAGCAAATATCAAATATGGAGAACCCGGTTCATGACTTCCAACATTTATTGTCTAACCTTTATATCTACATAAATACAATTTATCGAATTAATAAATATAATCTTTTTTTATTGCAGCAAGGCTACTTATATCAATGAAAAAAATTATATTTATTAAAATATATTCATTTTTCATGTATATGTTCATAATTACATTTCTTTCAGTATATTTTATACATTACAATGAGAGCAATAAAAATATAGATTATGGTTTAATATCTTATAATTATAAAAATTAATATTTACAATTACAGAATATAAAATTAAATCAATACTTAATCTATAAGATTTCAAATAATTTATAATTGTACAATTTTTTAAATAACTACCAAGATGAAAAATCACTAAATGAATTTGTTGTGACTTTTCTTTTTTTAATTGTAGGTGCTATACTTGACTCTTCTTTTTCTATTCTGTAAATAAAATTAACAATTAATATGATTCTCGAAATCTGTAGATACGTAATTAATAAATAATTAAAAATGTATATAATGCGATTTTACTTGTCTTCTTCTTTGTTTGGCTTTATATATTTTCCTATGCCTGATCGATATATTTTTAACACGTCATTCTTTCCTGTCTTATTATCTGATTTATTTTTTACAGCTTCTTGTGCCAGTCGTTCAATTTCAGCTGCCCGCTCGCTAGCTAATTGTTCATCTGCCTCTTGAAAAGGATCAACAAAGACTTGCGCTTTTTGTATTATTATATCTTCTATTGGTCTGTCTTTGTTATCTACTTCAATCTTTTCAATGGCATTTAGCGTTTCTAGTCCACCTACTATTTTTCCAAAAACGGTATGTTTACGATCTAAATGTCTGCACGATCGAAACGTAATGAAACTAGAATCAACAGAATTATTTAATTTTAGTGAAATTGTACTTGTAAACATGTAAATATATAATAAAATATATACAACTGCGATCCATTTGTATTTGGTCCAGAATTTGCCATTGATAAAATTCCTCTTCCTTGGTGAACCAAATTCGGTTTGAATTCGTCCTCAAATGTTTTCCCCCAAATTGATGTTCCTCCATTACCAGTATTTGTGGGATCACCTCCTTGTATCTAAATAAAATAATATTAATTAATTTTTACTTTATTTTATAATCTGTTAAAATATTTGTACATTTACCATAAAATTTCGTATGGATCTATGAAATTTTGTGCCATCATAATAACCATTCTGACAATGTTTTATAAAATTTTCACAAGTTTTTGGAACAAGTTCACAATGAAGTTCTAAATTTAAAGCACCAAAATTCATGACTAATCTTACATATCCTGGAAAAAAATATTTCAATTAATTAAAATATAAAACAATAGTAATTATGCTATATATATAGACCTTTTTTTTTAACTCTTTCGTATCGCACTAAATCCTCTGCAATAACTGCAGCTTGATGTGTAGTTTCTGTTGGCATTACTGTTGATGTAAAGCCAGCTGCAACAGCACCAGTAGAATAGTGTGCCTACATTTATAAATTTTTATTTTAAAATATGCTGTTTTATCCAAATGAAAGGAAAATGCCAATATTAATATACAAACTGCATTAAATTTATCCGCTTGTGGCTTAGAGACTTCTTTTTTAGTTTCAATTTGTTTATAATCTCTATTTAATTCAGCTAATATTTCTTTGGTTTCCATAGATACAGTTTTCAATTTTGCATTTGGATTATTACGTTCTTTTATCATTTCTAGAACAATTATCAATATGTATATTATATTATATTTATGTATATTAATTGTTATTGTAATCATCTGAAATCTCCATTTTGAAATATAAGATGTTACCTTCATCTTCAAGCTTTATATTATTTTTAATATGATGAAATGTAGATAAATTGAATTTCATTGCATTATTTGGATCTTGTATTATAATAATATCTTTTCTTGTAAAAGGTTGATCATTTATTAAATCCTTCCAATTACGTGTTTTTATATTCAATTGTTCTATTGCCTAAAAAAAATGTTACTATAAGTAATAAGTATAAATTACGAATAAATATATTTCTTAACTTAATAAACTTTTACCTCATATGAAAATACATTTCCAGTTGTTTTAATAGCAACAATATGAGAATGTTTAGTGAATAATTTGAAAAGAACTGGACAATGATACTGTTCTTCTGAATTCTTACGAAAATTAAGTTTTATTAGCATTTTTGAATCTAATGGTTTTCCTGTAACTGGATTATGCTTATACTTCTTTATATATTCTAATATTGCTTCCAGTTCAAAAATATTTCCTTGCATATCACAATAAGGGTGCTGAAATGGCTGCAGAGTTAAACAACAATGGTCGTAAGGTAAACGACGAAATGTTGTATCTTCAGTTGCTTCAGAAGTTCCAGACTTCTTCCCACCATATAACGTTGTCCATTCTGTATATGTTAAATACCTGTAAAAGTAATAAATACAAAAATTTTAACAGGAAAACAAAAATTGTTTTATCATAACCTAAATAATATTTTAGAGAATCTTACATTTTATCTTTTTGATGCTGACGTTTACCCATTTTGATTATTTGTTACTGATTTAATCTTCTTTAAGACAAATCTATAATTATTGTATCTTCTTAATTTAATAAGGTTTTTAAATTATTTAATGCCATAAAGTGTTTGTACTTTGACCTAAATTAATGTTTACACTATAGTATAGTGAATTTCTTGTCCAAGCGTTGTCAACTTGATAAAAATAACTATACTATTTTACCACTATACTACCTTTGAGATACTACTTGGATTTATTTTGATACAAATAAAAATTTAAATAGATTTAAGAAAGAAAAAAGAGAAATGGCTAAGGCAATGAGAAAAGGGAAAGATTGGAAGAAAGCAGTGCAAAAGGTTATTCATGCCTCACCTTTACAGGTAACCATTCCAGCAGGAATGGCAAATCCTAAACCACCATTGGGATCACAACTTGCACAGGTTAAAAGATTTTATATCTAAAATTTACAGTATTTTATGAAGTTACAAATAAATGTCGTATTATTTTGTATTAATACAGTAGTAAACAATGCATTGATTGACACTTTATGTCTTAAACGCTGCATTGATTTATATTTTATGACTCAATGAAATTGATGTTATTATTTTTAGAGAAATATTAATGTAGCAAATTTTTGCAAAGATTTTAATCTAAGGACAGAAAATATTAAAGAAGGTATACCTCTACCATGTCGTGTTAAAGTAAAATCTGATGGGACTTATGATTTAGTAATTCATAAACCACCAGCCATATATTTTTTGAAACAAGCAGCTGGAATTCAAAAAGGAAAAATACCAAATGGTAAATGAAATGTCTCAAAAATAAACATAAGATTAAAAAAATATGTTATATGTTATATTAAATATATTATTATTTTCTTCAGAGGAAGTAGCAGGGAAAATAACATTTAAACATTTATATGAAATTGCTTGTATTAAGGGGCAAGATCCAACTTTAGCATTATTAACTTTAGAACAAGTTTGTGTAATGCTTGTTGGAATAGCTAGAACTTGTGGTATTAAAATTGTACGTGAATTAGATCCAGCAGAACATGCACAATTTATGGAGGAGAGGAAAGAAAATGTTAATAAATTCTTGGAAGAGTTAGAAGCTGCCAAAGAAACCAAGATACGTAGGGCAGTTTAAAATACATTATTTAGAACATTTGTTGTACATAATTGTTATGTACTTTTTTCTTGTAGTTTGTAATGTATAAATTTATCTCACAATCACATATTTTATATTCAAAATACAAAATAAATACTAGAAATTAAAAAAACTTGAGTTATATTTATATTCCTTGACAAGTTTTTAATAATTAATTTCGTGAATACACGGAAAAATATGCATGTAAATTGTACGAAATTACATGCACGAAAACATATGGTAATCTTTCGTTAAATATTCATGAAAGTGCATTATAATTACTTTTGGTATCTCTTTGACATACGAAGAATTATGAGCGTAATTATCTACTTGCAAAATGTTATCCTTAGATTGCATATGTGCATCTGTGATGTTCTTTGTAGGTGTAGTTTTGAAAATCGATGGATGTGTATCGATGTATCGTTAGTGGATTAATCGTTTGACAGTTATTAGCTGACTTCAGAGCGATTTGCTGACGTTCTACTCAAAGATGGCGGTGATGAGTACGCCATGTTTTTTGTGATGTTCGTGCATTAGGCAAATTTTTTGAGAATTGTAATCTGTATGAGCAAAATGGCTGATGATGATCCGTGGTTATTAAAGGAAGACGGTTATTTAAATGTGGATACTGAGTGTAAAAGTATAATCTATCATGCTAATCTAAATGTGTTACTAATTACTACTGGCAGTGCGCAAGTATATGTATTTGATGTCAACTCAGGAGTAATTTTGCAAAAAAGTTCTTTATCAGGTAAGCATTTCGATTCATTTATATCTTACATGAAAGAATTTTACATTGATAGCAAATTATTTTATCACAAATCCTATGCGTAATTTATTTGTAACGTACAATCACGCCTCATGGTCAAGGTCGTATATGTCAGGCGTGACTCAAGTTTTTCTATTCTCATTAATTTAAATGTGATCAATTTTTGCTATTAATTAATTGTCATTATTGGTTTGCCATTATTTAAGATATAACTAAATTCTTACAGTCATTTGACTGTCTTAAACTATACTTATTATTGCATGTTTTTCCTTTTTTGGAAAAACGTATTTGCCATTTGTTATTTTATTAAAGCACAATTTGTATAAGAAGCATGTCAGTTTTATAATTATACCAATAATTATGTAATGATAATTCTAATGATCCAAACTGCAAATTATGCAATGTTTTGTTAGTATCTATTCTATATTGCTACATAAACATATTTGTGTTTTTATTTTATTCTGAGTGATCTTTAAAATATATGTTTAATTAACGAAATAAGTTTTATTTGCTTGATCATATTTAATGAATTAAAGTACTCTGATTTTTATTTTTGCAGGAAAATTAAATGGAAAACTTCAAGGTACATATTTGTCAAATGGTGTAGATAAAATATTATATACAGATGGGAGAGGAATTGGAGTACGTAGTGATTATAACGGCGTACTCTTTTTGGACACACTTTTACAAACACCTGTTTCAAGAAGTGAAGACATTGTAAAATTAGAGTTATTGTTTTCTGAAGCTACTTTATTATATCAGTGTTTAAGATGTGTAGAGTTACCAGGTGTAGATCATGTGCAAGAAGTAAAAGAAGAATTAATAAGTAAAACCTTTGTAATAGAAGCAAATCAGAAAAAGGGAATTAAAGCTCAAAAAGTAATTATGACAAATAAGTGCATAGTAAAATTTTAAATTACTAAATGAGTTGATGTTTATACAAGTGTTAATTAATTTTGTTTTTAACAGTGGAATACAGTATGTTTGGAATTACCACATGGTTCTCTGAAACTTGTGTGCTCAGGATTAGTAACGGAATTGAAGAGATTAAGCAGATATATTCCAGCATTGCCAATTGCTTCTGCCATTAATGAACGATTAAATGGCCTATTACCAGGCCTGCCATTAGAAGGAGGTCCTGCTGATAAAGCATTAATGTTTAGTGAAGCTACACGTCGAGATACTTTTTCAAAATGGCCACACATGAATTACAAGTACAACACTCGTTTTTTATTAGATAGTAAAACCATCGTTTTTTATTAGATAATAGTTGGACAGATGTATTATGTGTAATTCATTTTTTAGATGGGCTTTGCCAGATCAAATGGCGCAGGCTGGTTTCTATCATCAACCAAATGCAACAGGTGATGATAGGATAATGTGTTTTACATGCAATGTGTGTTTAGTTTGTTGGGAACCAACGGATGAACCTTGGTCGGAACATGAACGTCATTCCCCAGCATGTCCATTTGTCAAAGGAGAATATACACAAAATGTTCCTTTGTCTGTTATTCTTGCTACTGCTCCTGCACGTGAGGCTGGTGATACTGTAGATGTGATTAGCACTACAAATGTCAGTGGCCTTGTAGCTACAGCTTCCAGTGGAGGTTTTATTAATGTTTGGAATGTAACAAATCAATTAAAGGTAATATTTAGTAATACATGTCAATTGATTTTTCTCATATAAAAATATTTTCATAAAATACATTTTCCACAGAGGGAGGTGTCATTTTATGTGGCTCCTATAGATCAAGAAATAAATAATAAAGACTCTATTCAATTTGGTTCCACAAGAAATTTAACATCATATTTAAGGACACTTAATTCAGAGGCAGATCCCCTTTCTGATTTTAAGCATTCAAGTTCTCATAAAGTACAAGTCACAGCATTGTCTGTAGTAGGTTCTCCTAAATCTCAGAACAGTGAAGCAAATACATCTGGTTCTACGCTTTTATCTGTAGAGACATCAGACTCTAAAATCAGGCCATGTGTAGTGTGTGCTGTTACTGTAACAGTTAGTAACCCATCACAATTAAGGACTTTAGAAAATGTGTGGGCTGCTTCAACAGATTTAGCTTCATCATCATCTCTTGTTCGTGCAATGAACAGTGTAAATAGTGCTGCCAGTGATACTTTAGATATAATGAAGGTAGCAGGTGATAAGTATGCACCATCAAGATTGCACTATTTAGTATTTTATGATTTTCACCACAAAACTGCAACAACACAACCAATTAAAGAAGATAATACTAAGGAGACTAAGGCTAAAAAGACATTATCTGGAACAGGCACTAGTGCTAGTTCAAATGGTGAACGTCAAGAAAATTTATATCAAGAGTTTTTGGTTAGTAAATTTTTTTATGAAGTTCCAGTAATAGAGGATGTAGATGCAGATGTAGTTGGTCCACATTTTGATGGTATATTTCCAACATCTGCTCTTTCTGCATCATCTTCCAATGGGATCTATTCAAGTCCAATTGGTATCACAGTACCAGCATCCAGTTCATTTGACGCCAATTTTAATCCTATAAATTGTCCAGAACATTTTGCATCAACATCTGATCTAACAACTGCAAATAAGAAAAGTTTGGATATCATGAAAATAACAAAGACTGAACCAGTTGTTGTAAAGACATTACCTATCGAAGCTCCTGATTTTATTAAAATTACACACATTGAACCATCTAAAGATGGAAGACATTTATATGTTGCCATGTCTCCTACGACAGATAACACAGATTCATTAATTTCAAATAATAATCAGATGGATATTGATGAGGATAGTGAATTTTTCCCTCAGAAAGGTTACGTGTATTGGGACCATAATGATACACAGTCTGATAGACTAATAAGTGGTAATGATGACATAAATAATATGAATACCGTATTACTTGTGTATGCTTTGGATTTTTCGGGGCAAGTGGTGAAGGTATTTTCTGAACCAGTAGCAAAACGAGAATTATCTGCGGATGAAGCTCCTGTTGAACATGTGTTTTTACCATTTCAAGACAAAAATAAATATACATTATCCGATGAAAATTTTAGTAGGTGTTCCACTGCTACTCCTAGTGTATCAGAACCTGTAGGACAAGTGGCTCTAGTATGCAGAGATGGTGTTGTCAGAGTATTAAATTTAAATTCATTAAAAACAGTTACTGAAGCGAGAGTAGAAGGCAAAAAGTTTGTTTCTGCAGCCTATTGCACTAGTAAGTTTTAATATTTGTGTATGTTAATATATTTTTTTTTTAATACAATATTTTTGTACAAAATAATTTCTTTCAGGCTTAGAGAGATTGTGTGCATGTACAAGTGATGGTGCTCTTCACTTTTTTATTACTACAGATGAAGAAGATTCTACGGAAGATAAGGAGGATATTGAGGATATTAATATGATGACAGCTGAAGAAAGTAGTAATAAAAGTACAATTCCTAGCACGTCAACATCATCTGCTTTTCAGTAAGATTAAAAATAAAATTAAATTAGCAATGTAGATAAAATATTTTCTTTTTTAAACATGAAATATGTTTTTTCAGAGATCAATTAATTGCGCACAAATTAAGTTTCTCGTATTCGGATTTACGTTCCCTTTATGAATTGACACGATTTGACCATCATTCTCCCGCATATGGTGCTACTGTTCCTCCTTGTTGGAATGAAATGATGCAAGCCCAAAGACAGCGTCGTCATCCTCAACATTTTCATCAATCAGAAGATCAACACCATACTCGTACCTGGCGTTTACACAATGAGCGGTTTGTATGAGTATATAGCTACTTATTAGATATTAACTTTACTTCATGTTTCATGTTGTTCGGATGTTTCATAAATTATAGAAACACTTGGGACGAGCACATATTTGAATTGACTCTTCCTCGAAGTGCCGCAGGACGTATTGGTCACGTAGATGTACGATATAGTTTGCATTCAGTTTGTCAAGAATTGCCATCGATTCAAATTACTTTATTAAAACAAAATATTAAAAGAATTGGTCATCATGAGCCTTTATTAACTCCTGTGGATGAAAGAATAGATTTTAACATAGGTAATGAACAAAAGGGAGAAAATCCTGTAATCACAGAAGAGTTTCAGAAACAACATAATACTGAAATTTTATGTGGACCGATTGATTTACATCGTAGTTTAGACTTATCTTGGCGTTCTGGTTGTGTTACATTGACTAGTCCAAAACTGTTTCGTTCTAAAGCCAGAACGCTTCTTGTTCATATTAAGGCTCTAATTGATCCTGCGAAAGATAATGTGAGTA